CAGGCCGGTCGGCGCGGCGACGGTGCCGGCGCCCGGGAGGGGGGAGCATCCCTCCCGCCTGCAGCCGGGGCGCCGGACCGGCCCCGGGCCGCGGTGGGGGGGTGGGGTGACCCCCGGCTCCCAAACCGCTCCCCCCGAGGAAGCAGTTCGAGAGTCGGCGGCAAAACGGCTCCTGAAAGCCGTGCTGTGTACCCACGTGGCACTGAATACAATCTGGGAGAAATGCCGGACTCGGGCAGAGCTTCCCAGAAGTCAGCCCTCCATTTTGGTAGGTAGGTGGCATCGCCACAGCCCCAGCTGTCAGAAATTGCCTTAGAGGTGAAATTGCTCCCAGCCTTCCTTCCCACCAAAGATGGTGCCCAGAGGTGCGCGCTGAGCTCGGCTGCCCAGGCGAGGCTGCGAGGCGCGAGTGACCTCCATCACATCTTCGGTGTGCCCGGGATGAACAAACGGCTCCACGCTTTGCTTGATGTTTGCCACATGCTTTACAGACCACTTCATGATAGTTTACTTCGTCTAGAAGTTACAGACTGAGGAAAGAGAAACAATTTTGTTTAGAAGTCGCTTGTAAATTATGTGAGAATACCTGCATTAATGTATGCCAACATTCTAGTTCTAAAACTCAGGTAAAATAATCTCAAATGGTACATTCAAGCATCTTCTTAGTAAAAGACTTAATACCCTTAAAGAACATATGAATTTCTGATTTAAAGAAAGCAAAATTGAGTCACACTTGTGCAAAGCCACATGTTTTACCCTAGGGATACCATGAATGAAAGTAGATGCAGGAATGTTAAGCAAAACCTCTTTCACTTTGAAATGTACAGATTGTGTACAGGCTTATGGCAGAGCGACTAATGTATTACTTGACCTATTTTTTTTAAGCCAATGAAAGATTTAGGTTAACTTCATCATCATGTGTTTTTAACCACTTTCTTCCAGAAACGCAGCAGCATTTTCTAAAGCTACTGCGTGTCACAGCATCTGCACAACAGTCTTTTTTTTTTTTTTTTGAAAGCGTCTTTTAATAAAGCCTGATCACACTTCCATTAAAACAGTAAGTTTTGCTCTTCATTTCCATAGTAGGCTCATTAGCAAATCCTGATTGTAAAGAAATTAGCTTTAATTTTTTTATTTCACAAAGAATATCTAAAAAAATTTTCAATTCTAAGCAGCTGAATTATCTAGGGAAAAGGAAATTTTCTCATTACTGCAGCAATTTAGCTGCCATTTCAATCAAGAGTGTCTGTAGTAGAGACCTCTTTCATTCTTAACCTTAGGGAACATATTGCATAAACAAGAGACCTACAAAATGAGGAATCTTGGACAAGCAACAGAAAAAATGTGCATGTGGAGTGTTCGTTAAAATGATTGTTGTTAGGTAACACAGTTGCCTGAAGATGCAAGTTTCGATATGATGTAATCAACTGACACTGTATTAAATAATACAATGTATTAATTTAGCAGGTTATTTCCAATACTTAATATTCATATCACACTGAATTGTGCCGTTTGCTCATATTTACTTAAAGTATGAGAATTCAAACAATGTACAAAATAAATACCATATACAAGTAAAGAAAAAATTCCAGCACACAGTGAAATCAGTCTCTCAAAAAGTATGATAGTACTGCTGTGTATTTGTTGGTTCTTCCCATGCAGCCTTCAACCAAACCTAAACACACACTCACTCTCCAAGCATAAAAGATGAGCATCTCTTGATGTACCTACCTATCTACCATCTGTGGGTGGTGTCTATACCTTCACTTTCTTACAGATGTTGCAAAAGGGGACTTTTTTTCAAATTTTCGGGTTTTTTTTCGAGGGGAATTCATCGCTATAAGATGCCTGTAAATGGAAGGCCAATTATGACAGGGAAACATAAACTACCTTTGGATTGGTCTTGGAAGATAAAAAAAGGTTTATAGAGGTTATATTAGAACTCAGTCCCAGAATTGCAAGCACTTAGTGGAGAGCTGTTGGTACCATACTTTGCTAATATTAGTGAACCACTTCTTTTTACACTTACAAAAATATATAATGCACGTGCGCGCACACACCCCCCCCTCTTTGCAATTGCTAACTGGAAATCTCAAGACAGAAGGGTATGTTTTTGACCTAGTAGGAATTCTGTCAAAATATAATTGTGACTTTGACATTTTTGAAGTACAAAATTAATCTATGTGATCTTCACAAAAATGGTTACATAAATTGTTGACGTACCCTCAACTTTGATCGCTTTGATGATTACAATAATGCATTTAAAAATTATGAACAAAGGTACAGTTACAGTAACAAATATCATCTTTATCTTGCTGAAGTAAAACACATAGGGTTGTGCCGTGTGGTAACAAGATACTTACTATTTTCAAAAAGAAAATTAAAATATAACATGATTCCCAAACATGTTTACGCTAATGCTAGTCTATTTTTAAATCACATAAAGTGCTTTGAAGAGCTTGGGAGAACTACAGTTGCTCTTATTTTGATTTTCCTTTAAGGCTATCTCAGCCTCTCAAAAAACTAACAGCTCTGAAACTACCTTTTTCAATCAAAATAATTAAGGCATTGCTTTATGTCATCCAATCACAATATGAAAGGCTTAGGATGTGGTCGAGAAGCTAGCTAGCTTTACAGAAATTCATTTCCAGACTAAATCTCCCTCTAAAATAGTTTGTCAGCCTTACGTAGACAAATAATGAAATTCCATCCTTGACTCAGCCTAGTTCAATTCATGTAATATGTCAGATTACCCACTATTTCGAAGGTGCCTTCACAGAGGATTAAATCACCTAGTATTCCAGAACTTATGTAGGCACACAAACTATATTTAAAAAAACCTCATTATGATTCTTATTTATTCAATAATCACCTTCAAAGAAGGTTTGCCTTAATAAATTATAATTGCGTAACAGTGTTCAGCCATAAATCTGAACTAGTCAGGTGGAAAAATCTGCCTTTCTTCTGGAGTACTATCTAGGACTAACTGAAATCAATGGGAACCCTACGAGTGTCATCAGAAGAAAAACTGGTCCAGGGCAAGGGTTTCTGCAGCATGTACCATAGTGCACATCCTGTTCTGTTCATGACAGCACCAAGTCTGCAGCTGTTGGAGGTGGAGTTAAATTACACAAAAACATGTAAAGGGAAGAATAATGTACTCTTTATGTAACCAAAAGATATCAAGAGTACATACCGCTTGTTACTTTATCTATTAACATTTAAAATGATAAAGGTATTTGTATGCATACGTAACTCATATCATTCCCTACTGGAGTAGTTTTCTGCTGCTTCTTTTTTTATTACACAGTTGACTTATATTTTTACAAGTACTTCGAAGTAGGTCATCTGAGAGAAATGTAACGCCTCAAGTTCTTTTCTTCTTTTTTTTCTGCATTATTTAAAAGTCAACTTCAGATTGTGACTATTTGATCTAAGAGTAATAAGCAAAGGACCAGATGCTAGAGTCTTTTCAATTACAAAAACATTTAAAGACAGCTGTACCATTAAACTCTCATGGAGAAATCATATGCTTGCAGCATCTGGTGAGGTTTGGCCATGCCTCCAGTGCTCTGTATCTGTTCTGAGGCATAAGCTAGGGTGAGGCTTACTTTCCCATATGCATTTTTGACCACGGACAGGAACTAACACTTTGGGTCTTATATTTGGTGGCAGGAAACAAACACTACTTTCAGCCCCTGTAACACCTTTTCATGGAGGAAACAAAGGGGTGTATGCTAAGTTGATATGACTACTTTACATTAATTATTAATGTTTTACCAGAATAAAGTACTGGTGTTTTTAGCCAGAAGAACACATCCTGTACTTGTGAATTTTCTGCAATTTCATCCCACTCGCACAAACAATCATGAAAAATACACTTCTGAGAACGTTGCCCTGATAAGTCATGTTCTTGATACTGTGAAGGCATGTACAGGAAATAACCAGCCTGGTGTCACCACTTCCAAACTGACATACAAAAGTCCCAGTAGAGCAGGTATAACACCATGAAAACACCATTACTACTTGTGGGTTGACAGCAATGCAAAGATATTTATATGCATGTAGCTGAAACTGTTCAGAACACGCATTTTCCTTTCAGACTTAATATTTTTTTCTTTTCTTTGACAAAGATGTTCCCCATGTCAGCAATAACAGATTGAAAAAGGACTGAAGAATCATGCCCTCTCTCACACTCTGCATTCAGAAGTTACTCTCAGTAACAATATTGTTTCACAGCCCCATTTTTCTGGCTAGCTATCATGAAATCTGGATAACCCTTTGTCATGGTTCTCATGATGACACAAGCCATGTTGTTGAAACAGTATGTTCTAAAATAAAATGAACAGTACGTACAAATTATACATACAACAATCTGGCAGTCAGTACCACACTGCAAGTAAATAAAGTTCTGAAAAGGACCATTAGGAAGCAGCTAAAAAATGAAGCTGAAGTGTTTGCTGATCAAAATAATACAGGTACTGGGCAAATGTTTTAACAATATAACAACAACAACAACTTTAATTACATATTAAAACTGTAGTAATATTCTTTAGTACAAATTATTTTAAATGCTCTGACTCAAGTAAATGAAACTGCTGTGTTAAGCTAAACTGTGTATCTCATGTATTTTTATTAAACATATTTACCTCCCCACATAGAGAACCTTTGATGGAAAAACCAGTTATATAAAATACAAGTTATTTTAATATATTTAAGCTATGGTTCTACCAATCCACTAACTTGGAACATCTACTTGAGTTACATTAAGTCAAAGTTTCTCTTTTTCTTTTTCTCCTTTATAAGAAAAATAATGCTTTTTTTTTTTTAAAAAAAACAAATAAAAGGAAAATGGGCAAGTCCTGTTTTATTTTATCTGATTTCAATTACACTAGAGTGTAAAGTAAATATCAAATTTCTAATATGGCAGAGGATACTTTATTTTAGCCAGCTCAGTCCTTATACCTCAGAAGAATAGATGTTTTACTGATGAACTTATACGATATCAGTGTTTTAAATGCAAAAATAGCATCTTATTTTCCATTTGTCTGCAATGTTTTTTTTTTTCCCCAAGTTGCTGATTTTTTTGTTTCCTTTTTTCATGTGAGAGTTGGAGGGAGAAGTGAAGGCAAGAGATTGGCTCAGAAGATTGCTGGAATTCAAAAGTAATTGTAGTAAAGTAATAAAAAACCTTTATGATTTTCTTGTTTTATAATGAAAAGAAATAATATATTATTTTGGAAAAACCTACACTTAACAATTTTCACAAATGCCTAAAAACATAATGGAAAGAGAAAGAACATGGACTACCACCCAACATTTTCTAACATCACTCATGAAAGCCCTCAGAACAGTAACAATGAAGAAATTCTGAAAAAAATCTGTCTTCTTTGGCTAGGTACCTGTGGTGACTGTTTGGAAAACAGGGTCATAGTTCTGCAGATTAAATATTCTCAGAAAATTGGCACTTACCTACCTAACATCACAGATTTAGTCATAAGTGGTTACTGCTTCTGTTTACCTACAGATG